AAACACCTACCATGTTGTGAGGATTAAATGGGATAATGTGAAGCATTAAACAGTAAGGGATTAACCAAAAGGTAGTTGCTATTCTTCTAATCGCTATTATATGTCATCCCGTAGTGGCCAATAGATTTGTCTTCCTAAAGTCCATGGCCATCAACTTACTTTCCTCTTCAGAAATGTCTGGCTCCCACAGACTAAAGCCCAATCTGCCTGACATGGACCCCAAATCTCGCAGCGTGATTCCCCTCAGCAGTTCTGAACAAACTCTCTTCTTTCCCCAGAATGAATAAGCCCTTGTCATGCCTTCACCCACTTGAACTCCTTCACACAGAGTGTGGGCCCCATTCTCCTTTTTCTGACTGGGTGGTCTCTCTGTCCGTCACCCAACACCTCACCCAATGAAGCAAACTCTAATCCATGGGAAGCATTTGGGTAGTAAAAACAATGTCATATTTACTTCATTTCTTGATTCTGAAGCTTGGACCAATTGTGGTTGGGAATTCTATAGCATGGCCTATTTAATGCAAAAGTTAGGAAGCTTTTGTCATCTGAAAACTTTATAGCTCTTGGTGCTTATATCTAGGATGAGAGACAGGGAAGAGCTCTCAAATTTGTAGTATCAGGAAAAACCAGGGAAATGTGAATATGTCCCCTCAGAGCCCACTGGCATGGCAGAGGCCATATGTAGAAGACACGAAGACAGCAGGAGGCCAGGGTTAGTACTCATGGGAGAGAAAAGGCTGAGAGGTCTGTCACATCATCCATCTCCACCCTCCTGCCTGCAGCCCCATGCAGTTTTCTGGCTTGTGTTTTAAACCATTTTGATTAGCACCACAGGGGAAAATCCATTTTTAGGTCCCTTCTAGGGTTTATGACTTGGGTCAAACCCTCCTAAACAGGTACAGTTTCTTAACACCAACTACTTACACTTGGGATGCAATTCCAGAGCAATAATGGAGCAGTTCCTTGGGCGGAAGGAAAACTTACCAAGCCTCCAGAGGTCCCACAGCAGGTGCCCAGACTGGCAGCCAGGTGACAAATGGGCAAGAGGCCAATGGTTTTCTCTCCTACTTTAATATACTGCCGCTCAATTCAGCATGGCTTATTTCTTTGGGTTCCAAATGTGTTTAACTGTGAAAACTCGGTTCAAGCAAAACATACGCAGAACCCCACTCTGCAAATGTGAAGAGGCCCTGGTTAAAGAGGGGGGCGTTGGAATCCTGTCTGTTCCCATCTCCTCTTCCCTAGCCCCCAGAACCTCAAAGGGACCTGCTGAAGCCCACTGAACATAGTTTGAAAATGCCTGGGGTAATTTTGAAAGACGCAGGCTTTGGAGCCAGTTAGAGTAAAATCCTGGCTCCACACTTGAATGACCTTATCTTGATCTTCACTTTCTTTATCTGTACATTGTATAAAATAATACCCACTATAATAATATACACATGCCATAATAATAAATTACAAAATATAACTTGTAGGAAGTCATAAATAATGTATGGAAAGTGTCTGGCTCATAGTAGGTGCTCGATAAATAGCTATTTAGTAAATGCCTCAAACAAGCAGGCCCCTCTTCTGGGACTATGGAGGATTCGGAGATGAGCAAGGGACCTCACAAAGCTGAGGGTCTGGTTCCTACTATGGGACAGGAAGGAGGAAGTACTAGAGATGAGGGAACAAAGTGCTACAGAAGGAAATCGAGGGAACGAACATTTCTAATCGGGAGGTGTGGTTGAGACTGTCGGTCGCCTCGCCAGTATCTTTTTTCCCACTTCTTCCTTTGTAACGGAATCCCCGATGTCCAGCTGGGATCATGGTTGCTTAGAACGAAACCATATTTCCCAGTTTCCCTTGCAGCTGGTGGCCACATGACTACGTTCTGGCTAATGAGAGGTAAGCAGAGTGGAACCCCGTTTCAGAGAGTCAGAGGGGTCGGCACTGCCCCTGTCCCCTTGTTCTCCCCATCCTCTTCCTCCACCTTGATGCTAAAATGAGCACAGCTGGCTGGCTTTCTGGTATCTGTGGTTCCATTTAGCATACCGGTTAAAGGAATCTTTGGAGAATTTGAGAGTGAATGTACCTACAAAGGGTAAATACTTTTATTTTTCTTCAGTGTGACACAGTGGCTCAACAATGAACTTCAGCTGCTACATCCTGCAGCAGCTGAACTCTGAGGAAGCTGGGTGGCTGTGTGATTTTTGAATATTCCACAGCCCAAAGGGGTCCTGCTAATTATGAACAACTCTGATTTGCTGGGTATAAAAGTTCTCACTAATATTTCTAAGTCGTTTAAGAGATAGTCAGTATTCAGGATACAGTTAGTGATTTGCTTGGAGTGGAAGGTAGCAGGCACTGGTGGGCTCCAGCTCTCTGATTTTACCCAACATCCTGAGAAGAAGTCCTGAATGAGTGGGGCTCTCCCAGGGAGCAACCAGAGCTCCAAGGAGAGGGCTCTCTCCGAGCTGGTTCCAGGGGAGGGTCCGGGCCTCCCCTCAAAGCAGACTCCTTAGACAGCTAATCAGGGTATCATTCCAGGAAAACAAAGGGCTGGGGGGTGGAGATGAAAATGAAAGACAAGAGGGTTGTTGAAGCTGGGATGGAAGGACATCCCAGGATTCCTCTAAGAAGAGGCAACAGGGACTAGGGGAGGGAAGCTACCTTGAGATCCCTTTGAGGGGGTCCAAGATTCCCCTCATCTAGGGGCACCAGATAGACTGGGATGGAGCAGACAATTCTTCAGCTAGTGCTAGAAGTTCTCTTCATCCAAATCATGCCTTCTTCTTACTGCCTGAATCCTACACGTAAGACCTAGGGCCTGATACTCCACCAACTTGAATGGAAGAGAGAGTAAATATCTCCTTTTGAAAAAGTGTTAACACTCTTAGGATTATGAGTTGAGTCAGTTCAATCAGGTGATGTCCTATGATCACTGCCCTGAGAAAATGGGAATTGGGTTGAGGAGAAGAGGTTGAGAGGAAGAGACACGTGAAGGGCAGAGGGACACCAAGATGAGGGGTTTGAGAACCAGGGGCAACATGGGGGCACTGGCATCATGATAGGGGCACAGAGATAATGAATGTTTACTGAACTACTCTATACCAGATGTTACACAAACTCTGGGGATAAGCCTAGGAAACAGCTGGGGCCCCCTCTTTTACTTTAAGATGTTGATTTGTGCCAGATCTTGTTCTCTTCTCTTGTTCTTAAAAATCAGGTGGAACAATGTCTCTCCTCTTTGGAGAATGGGTTCTGCCCGCTCAAATCTTCTGCCTGGCTGATGGCTCTATGTGACAATGTTGGGAAGTAGTCTGCAGGATGCCTCTACGTTTGCCAAGAGCCCCCATGGCTGAGGGATTCTGTGCTCTTCCCCTCAGAACTGCCTTTCCCTGTGTTTCCTGCCCACCTTTCTATCCTCAGCCAGGAGAGGCTTGTGTGGGATGGGGGGAGGTCCTTCAGGGGAGCACGTGGAGGATGTTGGACCACACAAAATAGCTCATCACTGTGGCTTCACAGGGCTACTGGTAGAGAGAGCCACAGCTCAGAACAAAGACGTGGCTTGCCAGAGAAGACAGCCAATCCACTGGGAGGCTCCAGAGGGGCAAGATGAAGACTCCCTGACTCCTGGGCCTGGGGACTCTTCTCTTCGGCAGTTTTCAGGTGCAGAGCTGCTGGGCTGTGATCTGTTGAGAGGTGGGCTCACATGATCTGCGACTGCTAATGTTTATTGAGTTCTTATCATGTCCTTGGTCTTGCATTAAATACACATATGAACTTATTTAATCTTCCCAACAAACCTATGAGGTAGATGCTATTGTTATCATTCCAATTTTACAGGTGAGGAAACTGAGGTACAGAGCAGTTCAGACTTGTAAAAGGTCAGTCAAGAAGTGGTGGGTCCAGGATTCCAGCCCAGAGCATCTGGCTCCACAGTCCATGTGATTATCTACTATGCTCCACAGCCTTTGTTCATTAATGCAATACTGAAGCTTGAAAATGATGTAAAAAAATACATAATTCACAATGGATACCAAGCTGTCCCTAGAATGAGAGCAATTTCATGCATTGCATTCCGACAAGGTATCTTTAACGGGTGAGACAGAGGTGGTATTACAACCAGCACTGTGGAAATATTTAACTCTGGTTCTGTCCACATATTTGTATCCTGCATATGTCACCCACTATGCAAGAGAAGATGCTTTACCGACATCTGGTTCTTCTTTTTCCTGGCACAGAGTTGACCTACACCTTCCAGAGTCCCTTACAGTTAAGTGTGGCAAAATGGCCAGCTCTTGCCAATGAAATGTGAGTGGAAGTGAGGTGCATAATTTCTAGGCTCTAGGGAGGAGTGTGTGCCTTCCCTGCTTACTCTTTCCCTTTCTACCCGCTACGTGTTGGGGGCACGGAGGCCACAGGGGATAGCAGGGCCACAAAATGGACAAAGCCTAAGTCCCTGAACTGGGATGCATCTACCAACTGAGAGCACCCACCTTGGACTCTTGAACAAAAAATAAATTTCTATTGCATTTGAGCCACTGTACATTTTGGAGTCTACTTACTCCTACAGCCTAGCCTACTCTAATATACCACTTTCTTTACTGTGGTCAAAGGTTGAAGTTAATGGCCTTTAAAAACAACAAAAACCGGGTGCCTGGGTGGCTCAGTTGGTTAAGCGACTGCCTTCGGCTCAGGTCATGATCCTGGAGTCCCGGGATCGAGTCCCACATCGGGCTCCCTGCTCAGCGGGGAGTCTGCTTCTCCCTCTGACCCTACCCCCCTCATGTGCTCTCTCTCTCTCACTCTCTCTCTCAAATAAATAAATAAAATCTTTAAAACAACAACAACAACAACAACAAAAACCCATGAAAGTGCTTCTGATTTCCCAGTGTTCCCATGTTCAGACAGCACAGTTCCCCCCCACCCCACCCCCTTCCCCCTATATGTAGTGATCCCAGAGCAAGGGCCAGGGAGGTTAAAACATGGGGAAGCCAGAGCATGCGTTACATTACCACATCGGTTTCCTTCAAGAGAGGTCCCGTTTCTCTTGGGGCTGGAGCCTGGGGGCCTCAGTCCAGGTGCCAAGGGGCCTCCAGAGGACATGGGGCTGGAGCGGGGACCACTGGCCGTGGTGACCAGGCCTCCCCCAAGGTGGCCATCTCCAGAGTTCTGCCTCTTGCAGTACAGCGAGGAGGAGGTGGGCAAGGAGCCCCTGTGGCTAAAGGCGGAGGCAGAGGGGTCCACGCTGTAGCGGTTCATGCCTACAGGGTTCACCAGGCACTCCTCAGTGGTGGCTGTTTTTGCTAAGCAAGAAGGCAGGACAGAGAAGAAGAGATCAGAGAGCAAGTCAAGAGGCTACCTGACAGTCTTGGCAAATGTTTCCCCAGCAGCACTGGTGCCACTATCTGTGGGGATGAGCGATGAGAAGAATGGACCCCACATCATAATCCCAAATAGTTCACCTCTCAACAGACTGAGACACTTGCCTCACCAACAAAGCATATTATAGTAGGGACGGGAGATGAGCCCCTCTGTGTTCAGAGGAAAAAGTGATTATTTTAGTTATTGATGACTTGAAAGTAAAATTCAAAGGTCTTTCTCCTTCCATGCAGTCTCTACCAGCTTGCCTGAATCTCCCTGCTCTCTTTTCTCTTTGCCCACCAACACTGCCCTCCTCACCCGGCCCGGGATGCTTTAGAGAGATCAAGCAGGAGTCACAATGTCCCTGAGTTAAAGAAACAATTTGACCTGGGTGGTGACACAGGGGCAATGGTGCTTCCTCCCCAACACTTTCAGTCCCAAAACACATGAGGGTACTGCCCTTCCCCCAAAGCTAACAAACTGGGGATGCAAATGCTGATCTGGTCAACCCCAGGGTTCTCCCTATCAGCTGCAGATGAGAGATAAAGAGCCAATCAAAAGTGCAGGGGGAGTAAAGGACCTAAAGAGTCAGCCAACCTCATTGTCAGCTCCCCTTTGCCCAAGTAAATCATGACTTTCTACATTTTTAAAGCTCAACCTCAGCCTGTTGAACTCAGTCTGTGAGCTATACTTATGGCCAAAAGGTGTGGGGTGTTTTGTTATATTTTTAAGGACAAAGTTTAGGGGAATTATGGGGATAGAAAGAGGAAGAAAAATATCTTAGGAATTCCTTCTCTTCAGCCCCTCCCATCCCAGACAAGATTGTACGTGCGTAGTCCCATCAGTAATCATGTCTATACCACATATGGTCAAAACAGATCTTGACATCCACAGAGAAAATGTGCTAGAGTAACAAAAACCAATGGATCCTCCAAGGTTAGCAATGAGGAAACACATTTGAGGCCACAGGATCCAGACGTCTTCTTCATGTATGAATTCTTCCCATAATGTAGATATTGAAAGATTAAGACTTGATTTTTAGGGGAGCTATCAATTCTTCTCATAGATGGGGATAAATATGAAACTTGCCTGGAAATAAAAGCCATTGCATATGGGATGTCACTAAAGCAGCGCCTAGAGCAAAATTTATAGCTGTAAATACTTACATTTAAAAAGAAGAAAGATCTCAAAATGATAACCTAATCTTTCATGATAAGATAGTGGGGCAGGGCGGGGAGAACAAACTACACCTGAAGCCAGCAGAAGGAAGGAAATAAAGATTGAAGCAGAAATTAAGTAAAGACTAGAAAAACAATGGGGAAAATCAATGCAACCTAAGCTGGCCTTTTGAAAAAAATCAACAAAATTGACAAACTTTACCTAGATTGGCCAAGGAAAAAAGAAAAGAGTTAAATTACTAGAATCAGAAATAAAAGAGATGACATTACTACCAATTTTATAGAAACAAAATGGATCATTAAAGGATACTATGGACAATCATATGCCAATAAATTAGGTAACTTAGTAACTGACAAATTACCAAAACTGACTCAAAAAAATACATAGACAATCTGGGTAAACCTATAACAAGTAAAGAGAATGAATTAGTAATCAAAAGCTACTCACAAAGAAATCCCAGGCCCAGAAGTTTTCATGAGTAGATTCTACCAAGCATTTAAAGAAAAATTAAAACCACTTCTTTACAAGCAAATTAATACAAGGAAGGGATACTTCCCAACTCATTCTATGAGGCCATTATTACCCTGATACCAAAACCAGACAAAGGCATCTCAAGAACAGAAAACTACAGATTAATATTTCTTATGAATATGGACGCAAATATCCTCAACAAAATGCCAGCAGATCAAATCCAGTAACATATAACATGACTTATACACCATGACCAAGTAGGATTTATCCCAGGAAAGCAAGGTTGGTTTAACAGTCAAAAATCAATAAATGTAATACACCATATAGATAGAATTAAAAAAGAAAAAGATAGTCCAATTGTCCCAATAGATTTGACAAAATTCAATGTCCTTTCCTGATAAAAAACACTCAACACACTAGGAATAGAAGGGAACTTCCTCAACTGGAGAAAGTGCATCTACAAAAAACTTACAGCTAACACCATAGTGAATGGTGAAAGACTGGATGCTTTCCCTGCTAAGATCAAGAAAAAGACATGGATGCTTATTCTTACAACTTCTATTCAACATTTTACTGGAAGTTCCAACCAGGGCAATTAGGTAAGAAAAAGAAAGAAAGGGCATCCAGATAGGATGGAAGAAATAAAACTATCGCTTGTATGTAGAAAATCCTAAGGAATCCATTAAAACATTTTTGGAACTAATAAATGAGTTTAGCAAGGTTGCAGGATACAAGATCAATATACAAATATCAACTGTGTTTCAGATTAAACAATCTGAAAATGAAGTTAAGAAAACAATTTCATTTATAATAGCATTAAATAGAATAATATATGGAGGAATGAATTTAGCAAAAGAAGTGTAAAACTGAAAACTCCAAAGCATTGTTGGAAGAAAGTAAAGAAGATCTAAATAAATGGGGAAAAATCCCATGTTCATGAATCAAAAGACTGAATATTAAGATGGCAATACTCCCTAAATTGACCCACAGAGTCAATGTAATTCTTGTCAGTATCTCAGCTGACTTCTTCATAGAAATTGACAAGCTGATTCTAAAACTCATGATTTTCGAGGGACCAAGATGAACCAAAACAATCACGAGGAAAGAACATAGAGCCTTCACACTTCCCAATTCCAAAGTTGACTACAGAGCAACAATAATGAAGACAGTGTGATTGTGGAATAAGAACAGGCAAGCAGAGCAATGGAATAGAATCGAGAGTTCAAAAATAAACTGTGTCTATGTTCAGCTGATTCTCCACAAGGGTGCCAAAAATCATTCCATGGGGAAAGAAAAATCTTTTCAGCAACCAGTGTTGGAACAACTGGATATCCACATGCAAAACGATGTCATTGGACCCTTAATTCATACCATATACAAAAATTCATTCAATATGGGCCAAAGACCTAAATGTAAGAGCAAAAAGTTACAAAACTCTTAGAAGGAAACATAAGAATAAATCTTCATGACCTTGGATTTGGCAAGATATTCTTACATTTAGCACCAAAAGCATGAGCAACACAAGAAAAAATAGGTAAATTGGACTTTATCAAAACGTAAAACTTCTGTGCTTGGAAAGATAACATCAAAAAAGTGAAAAGATTACCCATGGAATGGGAGAAAATACTTGCAAATCATATATCTCATCAGGGACTTGTTTCCAGAGTAACTCAATAAAAGTCAATAAAAAGAAACCAAATTTAAAGATGGGCAAAGAACCTGATGAGACCTTTCTCCAAAGAAGATATACAAATGGCCAATAAACACACAAAAACATGTTCCCCATCATTAGTCATTGGAGAATGCAAATCAAAACCACAAAGAAGTGTAACTTTCCACTCATTTGGATGTTTATAATAAAAAGTCAGATAATAACAAATGTCGATGATGTTGTAGAGAGACTGGAACCCTCATACACTGCTGGTGCAAATATAAAATGGTACAGCCTCTTCAGAAAACAGTCTGGCTCTTCCTCAACCAGTTCAAACTAGAGTCAGTCACTCTACGACCCAGCAATTCCACTCCTAGGTATCTATCAAAAGAAATGAAAACATATGTCCACACAAAAATTGGTACATGAACATTTACAGAAGCACTATTCACAATAGCCCAAAGGTGGAAATAACCCAAAAAGGCAATCAACTGATGAATGGATCCACAAAATGAGGCATATCCACACAATGGAATATTATTCAGGCATAAAAAGAAATGAATACTGATAACTGCTACAGCGTGAATGAGCCTTGAAATATTCTGCTAAGTCAAAGAAGCCAGTCACAAAAGGCCAGGGATGAAGTGATTCCACTTATATGAAATGTCCGGGACAGGCAACTCTATAGAGACAAGAAGTCGATTAGCGGTTGCTGAGGGCAGGGGGGCAGTGGGGAGAGAGGGTGCTGGCTAAAGGGTATGTGCTTTTTGAGGTATTGAAAGTGTTCTACCATTGTGGTTGCACATTTCTGTGAATATACTTAAAACCACTGTGTTGCACTCTTGTATGATAATCTCAATAAAGTTGTTTAAACAATTCACTGCAGAAGCCTGGTGCTGGGTCTGAACACATTCTCAGGAGTGTTGTTATACAGGCAAGTCCGGCCAACACCACTTTGGCCACCATGACACAAGTAAGCTGAGCAGCCTCAGTGTACGCATGCTCTGTGCTTTCTGCTTCGTGGCCCGGGGATGCTGTAAGTGGTCTTCAGGGACCTGGAACGCCACACCTGCTCCTTAATGACCTCTATTGCATCTCTTCCATCCAGATCAGAAGACAGCAGTATGAAGTTTCTAAAAAGGCCCAGGCTACAGAGCTATGTACGAGGCTGCCTCCTGAACGGAGTGAGGAAGAGGCAGACAAACACTGAGCACCTACTATGGGTTAGCACCATTCCAAGCCAGTTAGCAGTAAGGCTGTCTTCATATCCCCTTTACTGGAATGTTCTCAGTATCGGAGATACTAATCGCTTCTGTGTCCCTAGTGGCAGGTGCCTTGGTGTATGTGAGGAAGCTACTCACAGTGTCTGGCATAAAGAAGGCACTCAATAAATAGCTATTGAGTAGACATTTGGGCCACTGTTAGCAGTGAGGCGGCCATTACACAGAATATGCATTACAATACAGATTAGAAAGGATTATCGTGGATACATGATAAACAATGATAAAAAAGATTTAACTAAAACATTTATTCTGTTTATTAAATATTTTAAATCAAGATTAAATATGTCTACGTGGTTCTGATAGTGGTAAGGTAGAGAATGCAGACAATTCTCCAACCTGTAATATAGCTGGAAAATAC